CCCGCCTCGACGCAGGCGCGGCGCGGCGCCGGATCTAGAAGGAGGACCGCCGCGGAAACGCCGCCGCTGGCAGGCTTGCGACGGAGGCTGCAGCCGCGCGGCTGCCGCCTGCTGCGTCCTGCAGGGGCGCGCGGCCCGGCTGTACGCGCCCACAGTCCTGCAGGTGTCGCTCGCCGCGGTCGAGCTGGCGGATCTCAAGACGAAGCACGAGAGCACCGGCCCCGGCGGCCCCCACGTCTGGCGCCGCTGGGCTGGACCTCCACGACGGCGCGCACCCTGGGAGGCGGACGACGCCGCGGCAACGACCGCTGCGGCGCCGCCTGGGCAGCAGGGGGCCGGCCGACGCCGGGGCAGCGGCAGGGCGCGCGGCGGAGGCAGGGCGCGCGCGCAGCTCGCCGGCCGGGCACGGAAGGCTCACGTCGTCGCGCCGGCGCGCAGGGGCCCGGCTGGGCTGCCTGCATCCGGTGCGGCTGCTGGGGCCCGTGCCGGGCGCGCCTGGCCAGCCGGCCGTGCGCCAGGTGGGCGCCAGCGCTGCCGCCTATAGGGCGGCCAGTCTGCTGCTGGTGGCGCCACAGCGGGCCAGGGGCGCCGAAGCTGAGTGGCGGGCGGCCCTGCGGGACCGCCGGGCGGCGCGCCCGGCTCATGTTCCACGCGCGGCCTTGCTGCCGCGCTGAGCGGAGCGGCGGCCAGGCTGCGCGCCGCCGGCCGCTGCTGCCGCCACCTGCCGCCTGTCCCCTATCGCCCCCTCTCGTCGTCGTCGGTCGTTTCCTCACTTTGCCGCGGGGCCCCTTCGCGATGGCAAGAACGTGCAAGGCAGGACCAGGCGAAGGAGGAGGAGGAGGAGGAGGAGGAGGACCAGTGTAAACCCAAGACTCATTAACGATGTTGAAATACCCCCCCCCCCTCCAAGATCCCCCTTCGTAGGCCCGTGCCAAAACAGTATTCTCAGGACTTCAACGCCACGGCGTATCTGACTGTTACGTCTTGGCGATCATGAACCGTGCCACAGCACCACTCCTGGGGCTTCAGTCTTTTCTGGTCATGAACCATGAGAACCAATGAACCTCTTGCCAGCGTTCAAACCGAATGTGCACGGCACTGACGCGAGAACCACATTCTGTAAAGGAGCCGCCATCAATCCGTGAAACCATTGCATCTGTTTAAGACGAATGCGCGGCGCTAAGGCGAGAGCCGCTTTTTGAAAACAGCCCGCCCTCAATCAGTGAAACCACTGCGGTTCTTCAAAACGAATGTGCGCGGCGCAAAAGCGAGAGCCATGAAGCTTGCAAACGTTGAAAAAGAATGCACGCGGCGCTAAAGCAAGAACCGCATTTTGAAAACGACCCGCCCTCAATCCGTGAAGCGTTGTTTAAAGCGAGTGTGCCCGGCGCTAAGGCGAGAGCCACATTTTGAAAACGACCTGACCACAATCCGTGCAGCTCTTGCAAGTGTACGGCCCGACCGAAACCCGTGAAACTCCTGCAGACAATGTTTAATGAGTGTGCGCGGCACTAACGCAAGGACCACATGTTGAAAACGACCCGCACGCAATCCGTGAAACGACTGCAACTGTTCAAAACGAATGCGCGCGGCGCTCAGGCGAGAGCCAGATTTTGAAAACGGCTCGACCTCCATCTGCGAAGATATTGTCAGATAGTAAGCATCTGGGTGATAAGAAAGGTGAGGTCTCAGAGTAGAGGGAGGAGGAGCAGCAGCAGCAGTAGGACGAGGAGGAGAAGGAGGAGGGACCAAGGAGAAGGATGGGTAGAAACGCCAGGGAGGAGGAGGAGGACGACAGGAGGAGGAGGAGGAGGAGGAGGAAGAGGAGGAGAAGGAGGAGGAGGAGGTGGAGGAGAAAGAGGAGGAGGGGAAGGACGATGAGGAGGAGGAGGAGGAGGAGGAGGAGGAGGATGAGGAGGAGGAGGAGGAGAAGCAAGAGCAACAGGATCAGATGACGATCGGCCAGTGATGAGCAGCAGAAGGCATAATAATTCAGGCGCAGGAGAAGAGGAAGAGGAGGAAGCGCGGCCGCCGCCGCCATCGACATCGTCGTCCTCGCCGGCGTCGTGACGGTCGCCAAAACCGCTCATCATCGGCCCCCGCATCCCTCCCAGGGTCCATTCCGACTCCTGATCTGAGCCGCGCACCGCCGTTCTGATTCCTGAGAACCCTACACCTGCGGGCCTCATAGACGCTGGTGTGTGTGTGTGTGTGACACCCGCGGCTGATGCTTATTTAATCGCTTCGCTCATTCCGCCAGCCCTGGAGCGCTATTTGAGGCCTCTTGGGGCCGTCTTGGGGGCTTCTTGGGGGCTTCTTGGGCGCGTCTTGGGGCTCCTTGGCGGCGTATTGGGCTCCCCTGGGGCCTGTTGGGGGGCTCCTTGGGAGCGGCTGATGCTTATTTGGCTGCAGACATTCTCTGGACTCAGAATCCCGGACGGCGATTCAGGAATCCGGCCTGCCAGGGCAGGGCTCACATGTTACTGCTGCTTAGCCGTGG